GCCGACTCTTCAAATGTTGAGGGGATTTTGTCGCCCGATTGCGCCGGAACGGAGGATTGGCTCCCAGAATGCAACATGACACGTGCCAGCTTTCAAAATGCTGTTCCGCCATTTTGAAACCTGTCATGAGTAAATACGGTTAACTGATGTTGCATTCTGGGAGTCAACCGTCCTTGGATAACAAACATGGCGATTCATGAAAACATTCATTCGATTTGGTAGGAACTTTATCCATTATTTGCAGGTATGAAGCTTTGGATTCATTTATTGTGCTACTTTAGTGAACGGGAATTATTTTTCTACCGCTTGGGAGAGTTTGAGACACGAAGCTTTGAAATTAGCTCATTGTGACAACTTGTGAACGTTGAGTTTTATTTTTGTCCCCCACTGTAGAAAGAGAATTTAACAGCAATATCATTGGTTGTGCTCAATTAACACCTTTTATCTTTGAACTGTGCTCAATTAACACCTTTTATCTTTATATTTGCTACTAATACTAGTCTATTTCACTGATGGATGGCTATTTAACCTTCAGATATTGAAAGAAACATACGATTTAAAAATATTTACCTTTTTCAAATTACAAACCGGAAGTCGAGCAGTGAACGAAAAGCTCCTTAAATACATGTACTAGTATTCATGTAGTTTCCCGGGAATTTGCAAATTTTAGCGCCCGGTTTATTTTAACCCCGGTTTATTTTAGCGAATTGAATTTTTAGCGAAACTATAGCGATCGCTAACAATTACCCCTCGCTAACAATACTCGTTTTACAGTATTTTTGACAACTCATTTTTGACCCCTGTGTTATTTCAATGGGAGGTTTATCGAGAAATGATTTTGACTTTTGAGATTCATAACTTTGTAAAACCTGGAGAAACAAATCAATTTTTGTTGTGGACAAGTTAGCAAATTCAATTGTCTATTTAAATTTTATTTTTGAGAGCAATTGTATGGATGGATATTTTCTCATATGACTTTTGGCTTGGCAACCCAACCCGTTCCAATTGGTTTACATTGGTCCTGCCATTTTTATTAAATTCCTCAAATTCGACATCAATTTTTGACATATTGAAACGGAGATTGAATTGAAAATTTTCTGAAATATAGAGAATAGAGTCAAGCTACATATCCATTTACATTATCAGTTTTTCTTTCGTTTCAAGCTTTGAAAATACTGTAGATTGGGTTAATTTGGCGCCCGCTTTAATTTGGCGAAATTGAAAAATTCGCCAATATAAATCTTCGCCAAAATTTAGAATGAATCCCCGGGAATTATCTAGGGTATTTCATCCAGTGTATTTAGGTCACTTCAGGTTAAGTTTTTTCCAAAAATATGAAAAAGTGTCTCTCATAAATTGGCTCAGAACTGGTCAGTCACTCATTAATACTCAGAGAAAAACTAGAAAGGAAAAGCGCGGTATAGTAGCAGCATCGGTCGAGGTGCAAAATGTAAAGGATGATCTCACAAAAATGTACAAACGTGGTGAATATCGCCAGTGGTCCTCAAAAGAAAAAATGAACATAGCCAAACATGCCCATTTACATGGCAAGCGTGTAAGTTTAACATTTTTTTGCATATCCGTCAAATTAAATAGCCGCCAATATGCCAAAAATAACAACAGTAAGACTTCAAACAGACATGGGGTTTAACATGTACTATGAGGAAAAAGACCGGTCCTTAACTTTTTTTTAGGAGTATATGTTTGATCGCTAATTTGTCTATCAATTTAGTTGCGTTTGCATTGTCTCCAAAGGTTACACTCAGATATACACATTGGCGCAGGAAAACTTTACAATGTGCGTCAGTATAAGGCCATAAGAAGTAGATTCTTTGTTTTGCATCCAATTGCTTGCACGATTGTGAGTAAATCAGAAAAAAAAAACACATCCAAATAGCAATCACAAGGGTCTGAAAGTACCATCGCATTTCGTTCAATCAGAATCAGACGAAATGGACGATAATTTGACGCATGTCAAAATTTAATAGACTGTGTTATTGACTACTTTGGCTCTCATTGTGCAATTTTCTTATTTTTTACCCTTGAATAATAGCTATGTTTAACATATATTGTGTAAAATGTATAGATATGTGTTTGTAATCACTGCAAATTGGTATGCCATTCCTTTTTATGCCCATAAAATGTATACATTTCCCAGCAAACAAGTTTGTGTTTTTTCTTGAGTTTGTGTTTGTTTTCCTTGCACCCTTGCATGATTTGGATTTTGCCAGGACGCAAAACAAAGAATCTACTTCTCATGGCCTTATGGCATTTGGTTATAACACCTTAAATTGAATAAATCATGAAGATTTGGAGTAATGGTGTTGAACTGTTTTTCGTAACACTGGTTTAAAAGATGGTGGGTGCATATTTTAGCTATTTAGGACAATTGTGCCATAATTAGGACCATTTCCCCTACCCGTGCGGTGATAGGACCATTTCTCCTAATGTAGACTCATTAGGCTACATACACTTTCAAATTTAGAGGAAAAAGTATTTACATAAGAAAAAATTAAATATGACCAATTATTAACTCTTGCTTTACCACCTACTCCCCCTAGAAATAAACCCAAATTTGTATTGAACTCAATAAACTAATGAACATCATCTCATATTTAGAAAAAACTCAATGACAAGTCAAAGCCAAATCTGAAATCATCAGTCAAGTCACTTGTTCCATTTGAGAAAAAATGGTGAAACATTCACATTTTCAGTGTTTTCTATGAATTTCATTTAAAATTATTTGAGCATTTATAAATAATGAACATTATTTCAGTAGAGTCTAATATACATTTACTTACATATCAATCTGCCAAAGAAAGATCTACAAGTATTCAAAGGCCTAGGACACTTTTCCAACAAAGATTTTCTGTCAAGGCTGTGTCTGTCAGTGCATGTGTGAGCCTAGATATGTCTTCTGCTAAATTATGAATTATGACTCATCAAACAAACAGGGTCAAAGCCAGGTCAATGTAAACAAATCTTCTTGCGTCATGGCAACCAAGCATATGACAAGCAGAGAAAGTTCAAGATAGAGAATTCTTAGAATCTGATGTCATCAAACAAACATATAAACAAACATGTGTCATGGCAACCAAGGTCAAATTATTTAGCAGACAGCACAGAAAAATGGAAGAAGCAAAAGATCAACTGGCTGATGTAATTTGGAACAAATTTGTTGCAGAATTCTGGGTATGTTTTCATGAATGTTTTTGATTTCAAACAATTAATAAGCCTGTGTAGAAGTGGAAAATATTCAAAATAATGTAATTTGTAAATCAATCCTCAATCATGTCAATTCAATTTCAAAGCTGAAAATAAATTCATGACTCTGTCTTTGGAGCACAAAATTACATGAATTAAGTCTCCGTCTCTCAGTAATACTGTATGAAGATTAGGATAGGCTAACACAGATTTCATTTTGAATTCATATGACAAGGATAGGAACAGACATTTTGTGACTAGATCTATAGGCCTACATTGTACATTGCTGAAAATAAGTTTGTCATTTGTCATTTTCAGAATGTTGGAAAAGCAGAAAGGTGCCAAAAGACACAACAGATGTATTGATATTTAGGCAGTTGCTGAAAATGTACTTACCCCTTGGCTCCCTACACCATATGACTCTGCAGATCTGGGCCTAAACTGTTCTGTTCCACCATTATGTTGTTCTTTGTGACTGTAGCGACTATAGACAATAGGCTAGTACACCCTCTTCACATGGATGGACCGATATTGGAATACATTCTGAGGACCATGGTAAATGGTAATACCAACATAAACAAAGGAAACTTGCTGTGCTGCACACTGGCTACACAGTCTGACAGTGCATGTATATGTACAATATATGGGCATACCAATTATTGTACTATGTACAGTCAATTACATTGATTACATCTACCATTTGATGTCCTGACTCCAGCATCTAATTCAATCAATTTGGAGATCATTTGGGAAGGAACTTTATATGAATAAGCCTAAAATCCCTCCAATGACTATGAGCTAAGGATGGCTACTACATGATATGGATGGTTACATCTGGATTACAACTTCAAGTAAAATGTTGTCGTAAAAGCTCTGCAAATCTACAGATCTATGGATCCTTCAAGTCAACAGAGAATTGAAAGTACATTTGAAGCTCCATAACACAGTGCTACTGACAATACATTAAAGTCAAAACCAACTTAGCAAAAAAATTAATTGACTAAAAATTCAAACACCATTATAATTATCTATACTAACTTCAAAAGAATACATATACAGTGATATATTGATTAAATCAAATTAATGATTTGAATATAAAGTGATCTGTTATAAATAAATACAAAATTTCTTTGTTATTTACTGCTGTACTGGTGTACAAAATCTATCAGAGCATTGAAATAATGACCAATACTGGTAAAAATAAATAACAAATTTGTGAGCGCGTAAACTTGAAGTGAACAAATTTACTCTCATTATCTTTTGCAAAGCATAAGGACAGATCTTCTATTTATGCCAACTAAAGAACAGATCTACTCCTATGCCGGGCATAAGAACAGATCTACTTTTATGCCGAGCATAAGAACAGATCTGCTCTTATGCCGGGCATAAGAACAGATCTTCTCTTATGCCGGGCATAAGAACAGATCTTCTCTTATGCCGGGCATAAGAACAGATCTTCTCTTATGCCGGGCATAAGAACAGATCTTCTGTTATGCCGGGCATAAGAACAGATCTACTCTTATGCCCGGCATAAGAACAGATCTACTCTTATGCCCGGCATAAGAATTGAACCTAATTTGCCCAAACCTCATGTTTGCTGAAGTCCGAGTATTTGTAGGATTCCGAGTTCAAATGTCGGGGTGTTTATTGTAGATTATCATTTTTAAATGGAATAAAATATAGTTTTAAGGTTTAGAATGCATACATTTAATGTTAAAGCCTGATACTCTCATCCTCTGAATATGAAATCAAGTGAGAAGTGAAAATCTGACAAAAAACACCTATAATCTTTCCAGGTCCTTAAGCAGAACCCATTCTGGTGGACTCATCAGAGACATGACGGTAAATTGTGGAATCTGAACAACTACAGGACTGACATGATACAAGCCCTGGGTGGAGTAGAGGGCATATTGGAACATACCCTCTTTAAGGGCACATACTTCCCAACTTGGGAGGGTCTCTTCTGGTGAGTAGAACTTGGAATCCCACATACCTGTCAAAATTGTGTATTGTAAACTCGATTTGGAGAGAGGGCTCAGTAGCCTGTTAGTCAATGATGGGCAGGTTTTACTCTATTTAAATAAATCAAAGGGCCGGAATTTAGATTTATCTGGATTCTGGGATCCAGGGTGTTGAGTACCACTAGAGTTGTGATCTCTCTGTGGAGAATTATCCCCTGGGAGATAAATGCAGTCACAAGATATCAACTCCCAGCAGTCAATCTAGCTGGCATGTTTCTCTTTACTGCTACATTTTGTCATCTAGTAATCTATTTATACTTTATGTTCATTGATCTCTATGGCATTCAAGCAACCAAGTGCTGCACCTTATTGAAGGTCTTAAATTACATACCACCCTGTTGAAAATCTGTATACCCAACCTATTTTTCAAATGATTCCCATACAAATGCTTCGCTACTCGAATCGCTAGTAGGCCCGTAGCCAGCTTTCACCTTGGGGGAGCAGTTTTACCAAGGGGGTAGCTTTTGCCAAGGGGGGAGCTTCTTGACAATTTTGGTTAAAAAATCATGCAAAAAGTGCTCAGAATAGTGAAAAACTGCATGATTTTGAAAGAATTTCTTGCGACCGCTACCTCGCTCCCCCTGGCTACGGGCCTGGCTAGGTATGTAATACATGAATGGACATACATTTCTACATGAATATATATTCTCTTGACTAAATTCCTTTTGTGAATTGTATATTTTAGGGAAAAAGCCAGTGGATTTGAGGAATCTATGAAATACAAGAAGTTGACAAATGCTCAGAGATCCGGTTTGAACCAGATTCCAAACAGACGCTTCACACTATGGTGGTCTCCGACTATCAACAGAGCAAATGTAAGTTTTTTCATTAACAGGTTTTGAATATTTATTGCATAAATATATTTTAATATGTATTGAATGTGAGTGTTCACATGCATGAATTGGGTTGGCTCATGGCCAGGTCTTAGGTTACAAATCAATTGAATTCAGTCAGTCAAAAAATAATCGATGAACTCCATTTAATTGCTATGTTGTATCATTATCCTTTGATTGGATGGCACTGCAGAGCTGATGCATAGTTCGGGAATCTAATTTTTTCTATATTCATTATTTAGACCCTTTTGTTCAATTTTGGTCAGTTAATTGAAGTATTTTAATGATGGCATACTTATACCTGTAAGTTTCAGAAACTTGTCATTGATTGGTTGAAAGAACCGTTGGAGCTTTAATACATTTTTTTCACTAACATTTGGATGAACTCTGTATTTACCGCTTTTCATACACCCCCCGTTGTTTGGCTGAATAGAGGGATTGATACAATAGTAACCGAGAGACTCATTGAAATAAAATGTCTCGTTGGTATAGAATTTTTTTAAACCTAGAAAATTCTCAATTTCTTGCATGGCCAATGTTGGCTGGTTCAGTAAAAATGTGTTTTCCATAATTAAAAATTGATTTCTAGGGAAATATTTTAAGTATCTTTCCAGTGGTTTATCACATCTACTTCTTTTTATAACACCTTCACTGGATTAACATAACCATCCTTATCAAATATGATATCTTCATATGATTTTTCTTTTGAATATTGTCCACTTGCTATATGCTGCACATAGGCCGATATCGCTCTCCTTACAGGGTCGCAAACCAGTAAAATCAGCTTCAATGCAGGGTTCATTCTGTAGAGGTCATAGGGGTCAGCTTTGTCAAAGTATTCTGGGGTTTTCTCAAAGACAGTTTCATTTGCCATTGCTTTGGGAAGCTCTTTCATATATCTTTTCATTTCTTCTTCAAATGATCGATTGGGATTTATATTGTCAAAGAAATGAATCTCACGTTGTGTCGTTCTTATACTTGGATGAAGGTTTATGTAAGAAATAAGAGCTCCTGTTCCACACTTCTGAATGCCAATGTTGATAACCTCTGGAAGTTTCTCCACCCTGCCACCAGGTTTCTTCGTATCTCCGGGTCTTTTTGTCGAATATTCACTTGTTCTTTTGTTTTTAGGAATCTGAGGCTTGGTGGACTTTTCCTCACCAATTTCATCATTCACTAAAGTTATTTTTGGTCTTACATTCAGATCTACATGTGATGCAAATTTTTTTCTCTTAACTGATTTCATCAAATTCTGTCCACCTTTGTTAAGATTTTCAAATGAATTTAGAGAGTTCTGAGACTGATACATTATGAAAATAAGTCCACATAGGAGAAGTAATGTTTATAGATGCTTAATTCCTGTTGTATTCTCATGTTGAAGCTATTCCTGTTTTCCTGATTTCATTCTTGTTCAATTTTCTTTGAATCTTTATTCCTGTTTTCTTTGACTTGACAGTTTAATCATTATTCAGTTATTTTGTCTTGATGATTTATTCAGTTATTTTGTATTGACATTTTATTTAGTTATCTTGATATTTTATTCCTAGCCATTGTCTTGATAATTTATTCGGTTATCCTGTCTTGACATTTTATTCAGTTATTTTGTCTTCACATTTTATGCCTGTCCCTTGTCTTGACAAATTATTCAATTGTTTTGTCTTGCTAATTTATTCAATTACTTTGTCTTGATGCATGTAATTCATTCCATTATTTTCACATTACAATTTATTTATTCAATTATTTTGTCTTGATATTTTATACCTGTCTATTCTCTCAACAATTTATTCAATTATCCAGTCTTACAGTTTATTCTATTATTTTATGTTGGCTGTTTATTTCAGTGTTCACCAACTCACTTCACTCCTCAATCTATCAATATCTGCTTGGCATGTAAGATGGTTATAACAATCAATGTGTTTCTGTGCATATAACATTAAAACATGCAATGGAATAATTTGACCAATGAAATAACATTAAAACAAACAATGGAATAATTTGACCAATGAAATAACATTAAAACAAACAATGGAATAATTTGACCAATGAAATAACATTAAAACAAACAATGGAATAATTTGACCAATGCAATAACATTAAAACAAACAATGGACTAATTTGACCAATGCAACAGCTTGATATCTACAACGGCAATTTTTTCATGTTTGTAAACAGGTAAATGTAATTATGAGATGATTTATGTATTTTGATGGATTCAAATGGACTATTATTCATGAAACATGCACAGGCAATTAATGTTGATGAATATATATGCGCAAGTGCCAGTAAAAAAAGTACTAAAAATGCTTACAGAACACAGCTAGCAAGGAGAAGAAAACATCTAAGAATACACCAGTCATTAGGAAAACAAACTCCAACTATCCTAAATCATAATAACATTTTGGCTGCAGTCCCTCTTCTGGAGAGTTTCTCATGTTTCATGCTCATGACTTGTGAATTTCACCCAGTGGTATACACTTAGATATTTTCTTTTTCTTCCCGTGTTTTGTAACAATTTTCGGTCCTTTCCCTATGTATTTAACTGATTTTCAACCTGATTTAATGAATGAGATCCTTGTGTGCAAGCATTAACTGAAGAGAAAACTTGAAAATTTATTTTTGATTACTTTATATGTTCTAGGTGTATGTTGGTTTCCAAGTACAGCTTGATCTCACTGGCATCTTCATGCATGGCAAGATACCAACATTGAAGATCTCATTGATCCAGATCTTCAGAGCTCATTTATGGCAGAAGATCCACGAGAGTGTAGTCATGGATCTTTGTCAGGTAAGTGACTAGATAGTAATTGACTCTACTAAATCATCAGATGGCTGGTGAAACGCTGTTTTGTTCTAAAATATTAAGTGTAGAAATTTACAAAAGCTGGAATTCCCAAAAATGTCCAAGCGAAGAATTATCCCCTGGGAGATAAATGCAGTCACAAGATATCAACTCCCAGCAGTCAATCTAGCTGGCATGTTCCTCTTTACTGCTACATTCATCTACTGAATCAAATCAAGTCTTCTTTATTGCTATCTGCATTTTGAAATAAATGGCTGCATTTGCATTAAGTTTCTTTTATCATAATAACATTCTCAATTCAACTATGTTGGCACAGATGATGTCATGGAAAGGATACATGCTAGCTAATGCATGCATTGATTTTGTTCTTCAGGTGTTTGATCATGAATTAGATGCTCTGGAGATAGAGACGGTACAGAAAGAGACAATACATCCACGTAAATCTTACAAAATGAACAGTTCCTGTGCAGATATCTTACTCTTTGCTTCATACAAGTGGAATGTCTCCAAACCATCCCTGCTTGCTGATTCAAAGTGAGTAAATCAAATGTTTTTATTATTTATTTTTTATTTCAGAGAAAACATGACAAAGTAATTACATTTCAGTTACAGATTTTCATTGTATGTTTTCATTTAAACAATACTACCTTTTTTACATTTCAGTATTAGGGAAATGTAAACCCAAGGCATATAAAAGGAATATACTAATCTAATTTTGATTAATTTATTTACCACTTGGCAAGGCGTGCATATTCCATCTTTTTTCATACTACCCTCCTAAAATAATGTCATGCTCTGAGTTACCCTACTCAGATTTCACACAGCCCTCCTTAAGGTATATCATGCTCCGAGTAACTCTACTCTGCCTTCCTTAATATCCCTGTTTGTTTTCCAGAGATGTGATGGACAACACTACAACACAGAAGTACTGGTTGGATGTCCAGCTAAGATGGGGCGACTACGACTCTCACGATGTGGAGAGATACGCCAGGGCCAAGTTCTTGGATTATACCACAGACAACATGAGTATCTACCCATCTCCAACTGGCACCCTAGTGGCTTTGGATCTGGCCTATAATCTACACAGGTACATTGCTTATGCACTCGGGGTTCTTGGTACAAAGAATTACTGTAAAACCTGTCTAATTTGAACACCTCCAGGTCCAGCCAGAAGTGTTCAGCTGAGCAGGTTTTTTATATTGTGGTCGGTAAATGGCAGGAGATGACATTTTACATGTTAATGTCTTGTTTAAATATGTGAGTCAATGACAGATGACACCTGGACTTGGAAATGGTGTTTGAATAAGAGAGGTTCTCAGATATACAGGTTTCACTGTACTTGAATGAATGTATTTTTTTTGCTAACATGCCATTTGTAAGTACTCTGCCTATTATCTAGAAATGCATGTAGGTCATCCTATTATTAGTCACAAGAATTAATTTTATTTTGTTAAACCAGTGGACAGACATTACCTGTCATTATATTCGAATCCCAATTCATTTTCATTGATGTTACATTTTATTAATTTGCTTATAATAAACAATGTTAAATAAAACATGTGATCTTCCAGTGCATTTGGAAACTGGTTCCCTGGAGCTAAACCATTGATCCAACAAGCCATGGGAAAGATCATGAAGGCCAATCCTGCCTTATATGTGCTGAGAGAGAGGATCAGGAAGGGTCTTCAGTTGTATTCTTCAGAGCCAACTGAACCTTACCTGTCGTCCCAGAACTATGGAGAGATTTTCTCCAACCAGATCATCTGGTTTGTTGATGATACCAATGTCTACAGAGTCACTATACACAAGGTGAGTTTGCCAGGTTAATTTATGTTATGTTATCTTGGATGGTTTGTTGGTTATATAATGCAGTGCAGTTATATGAAATACTCCATTTTAATTGGCTGGGATCGGACACACCTTGCCTAGCTATGTGCGAATCAGTGTTAAATTTTCCCCAAAATGTAATTGTCCCCATTGTTATCAAGCCATTCTATAAATTTAAACCAATGTAAACGGGAAGTTTTCTTTAACATGAGGACTCTTGATTCACGTCACATCTCTCTATCAAGATAGCCACTGATATTGGATAAAAATGATTCTTCCCTCACATTTGTTCATTTGGTTAACCTATACTTGGTATTTCTATTCCACCCATATGGCAGTCAGTTATCAATTTTGATAAATAGTTCAAATCATGTGTTAAAGTCCCCGTCTAAAGTTTGAAAATATTTTTTTTTCATTCATTTACTATTTGTCAGGACTTAAAAAGTGATTTTAGAGATTTTTGAACAAAAAAAAAATTTTGAAAAAAAAGTTGTGAGCATTTCATTTCTCAAATATTCAAATTTCCCGCCATTTTTCAAAAAAAGTTGAAATTTCTTAATCATCAAATATTTCTTAGTGGATTTCAAAAAAGATTATCTTTTTAACACCAATGCAAAGGTTGAACAAAGGACACACTATTTCAATAATAAAATGCCATATTTAATGTTTTAACATATCAAAAATATTTTGAAACATTAGTGATGTCACTAAGGTACCAAAAACTTTTTGAAAAAAATTCAAATTTCTTTTTCGATGTTAATCTTTTCTAAATATGTTAAACTTTCATAAAAAACCAATGTTGATTGTCTAACCAGGTAAAAAGGAAGAATAAATTATGTTTTAAATATCTTTGTACCATTGGTTTCTATGAGAACTAAAATTTTGAAATGCATTTTTCTCAGAACCATTTTCATGCACCGATAAGTTCAATTTTTGCTTGTTTATCAACCAATTTTCTTAATTTTTTCGGCAAAAAACATGGGAGGATGAATGCTATGCATTGATATGAATTGTGGCTAATTAGAAGATATGAGTGACCTCTAAAAGTTGGTTTTAAATAAATTCACAAATTTTGGAACAAAAAGTCTATCAAAAACCACTTTTTGAAATTTTAAAAAAAAGTTTCACATATCACACTTTGATAACATTGGGTAAGACTACAATATAAGCCAAAGTGGTTTAAACTTTACATGGGGCCTTTAAGTAATTCAATTGTAATAAATCAAATCTTGTTTTACTTTTTGCAGACATTTGAGGGTAACTTGACGACGAAGCCCATTAATGGCGCCATCTTTATCTTCAACCCACGTACTGGTCAGCTGTTCTTGAAGATCATCCACACGTCTGTGTGGGCAGGACAGAAACGTCTTGGACAGGTACGTGTCAATCCAGAGTAAATGTTACTCTATCTCAAGGCAATATTTCAGATGATCGTCAAACATTATAGACTATTATGTTTGCAGCTAATGTTAACAATACATTATAGAATATGATTGCAACTGCTAGACTTTATAATTGCAGTTAATAAACTTAATGATATGTTTTGATTGCAGCTACTTAAAATTATAGATCATGATTGCAGCTAATAAACCTAGTAATACATAAAAATTGCTGCTAATGTAAAATTTATGCATAATACACATTATACATTATGATCACAGCTAATGAATTTTGTAATATGATTGCAGCTTATGTAAAATGTATGCATAATACACATTATACATTATGATCACAGCTAATGAATTTTGTAATATGATTGCAGCTAATGTAAAATTTATGCATAATGCACAATTTACATACAGCTAATGAATTTTGTGATATGATTGCAGTTGGCTAAGTGGAAGACAGCTGAGGAAGTAGCTGCATTGATTAGGTCTCTCCCAGTTGAGGAGCAGCCCAAGCAGATTATTGTCACCAGGAAGGGAATGTTGGATCCCCTTGAGGTCCATTTACTTGATTTCCCCAATATTGTCATCAAGGGCAGTGAGTTACAGCTGCCTTTCCAAGCCTGTCTTAAGGTAGGGTTTGTCAATCTCCTACAGTTAAGGTTCATCTCACCACTTTACCTCTGCAGTTGATAGATTACATGTAAGATTTGGATGAAAAATGTTCTGTAGTGTTGAGCTTTAAGAGTTGATCAATCAGAGTAGGTTATTGAATAAAATGTTCCCTTGAATTCCAAGGGGTAATCTTCACTGTCTTAAGATATTGATTGTTGATATATCATGTTTAGGTGGAGAAGTTTGGAGATCTGATCTTAAAGGCTACAGAACCCCAGATGGTTCTCTTCAACCTTTATGATGACTGGCTCAAGACAATATCATCATACACTGTAAGTTTTATGTAAAAGTTTGTCTTTTTGGTCTCAATCTCGTTAACATTTAAAGTCATATTTCAAAAAGATTGACTACCTAAATAGTTGCCTAAATCTTAATTATTCTCTGTAATGGGGGATATTTGTGTAGGTCTGATAATGTAGAGAGTCTTCATTAAAACTAAATTCCTCAAATCCTTAATCCTGTCTCTGAATGTAATGAGTAAGTAAGATCCTTAATTCCTTAATCTTATCTCTTAAATCTGTACATATATGTAAATATCTTTATCCAGGCATTCTCAAGGTTGATCCTCATCCAACGTGCCCTACATGTGAACAATGACCGCACTAAGGTTGTTCTCAAGCCAGACAAGACCACAATAACAGAGCCACATCATATCTGGCCAACTCTAACTGATGAGGAATGGATCAAAGTAGAGGTGCAACTCAAGGATTTGATCCTAGCTGATTATGGCAAGAAGAACAAGTAAGTCTTTTTATTGGACCTAAAAAGGTGCAGAATTGGTTTTAGTTTTCCTAGCAGGCATGTGGTCTGAATTGTCGCATTTTTATTGTCTACACATATCCAGATTAACATGCAAGGGACTGAGTTGAACTTTTCAGAAATGTTCCTTGATATGAAATCAAGAATTGATTAGAATTCCTCTGAAGGTACCTTGTTCATTACTTTATTTTTTCAACTACAAATAACCTTAAATAATCCCCCCTCTTCAGGTTTGAAAGACTACTGCTGAATTTGATTGTCATTTCAAAGATGTAGAGGCATGTTTATTTATTTATTTTTTTTATTTATTTTTTTTTTAAGGTTAGTTTATTTCATTTTAACACATTTATAATACAATAGTCATAGGTACAAAAAAGATACAATACAATGTGTATGAAATGCAAGCCGAGGTCTGATGACATTTTTGGCTTGTTAATGAAACAGAAAAAGAAAATAAGTTACTCTCAACATGTGCTTTCAGTAGAAGGCCTTCTATTGAAAGCCCATGCTCCCAGTTATGGTGGAAGATAGATGATGAGAATGAGATGAGATGATGAATAATGATCAGATTCAAGTAGTACATAAAAATTCAATTCCTAAATTATTTTATCAATAAATGTTGCAGTTAGCTTCATAATAATAGAATTTTGATCTCTTGTAAGGTTTGTATCACCAAATAAAATCATATTGAGTTTGTCAATACTACTTCTACCTGAAAAGTTAAAGGAGTTTCGGTCAGCCATTGATAAACTTTCGATGTAATGTTGCCTTGCTTCAAGTGTAAGAGGGCAATGCAAGAGGAAATGGACCTTTGTCTGATTATTAAACCCACACTGACATTTTGGATCTGAAACGTTTTCGAAATTGTGTCTGTAGAAATCTGACCTTAGCGATAGGTCACACCTCATTCTATTAAGTTTGATTTCTAATGGTCTCTTTAAGTTAAGTTTGGAAATTTTAACAGCTGTATTAATGTTAGAGCTGCAATGATGGGTTGTATATCTCCTACGAAACTGAGATTTAGACTGACTGTTTATTATAACTTAGTGAGATTACAATTGCTTCCAAGTCTCAGATACAAACCAACTCCATTTAACTTGCATTTCCAAAAATGATCAATTATATTTCAGTGTCAATGTTGCCTCTTTGACTCAATCTGAAATTCGTGACATCATCCTTGGAATGGAAATTTCCGCTCCATCTGCTCAGCGTCAACAAATCGCTGAAATTGAGAAGCAAACTAAGGAACAATCTCAGCTCACGGCAACAACCACACGTACCATCAACAAACACGGAGATGAGATTATAACATCTACGACGAGCAATTACGAGACTAACACTTATGCTTCACGTACAGAATGGCGTGTGAGAGCAATCTCTGCTACAAACCTCCATCTGAGAACCAATCATATCTATGTATCATCTGATGACATCAAAGAGACAGGATACACGTATATTCTGCCTAAGAATGTATTGAAGAAGTTCATTATTATATCTGATCTCAGGGCACAGGTTGGTTCAGTGTACTTTTATAAATGTTTCATTTATTTACATACTTCTTTATAATTTGATCTCTAAATGTTAAAAAATTAATTTTCATACTTTTAAAAATCTAAAAAGTACATGAAAATGTTTGCACCAAACATGAAGCTTGAAATATCTTCTTGTTGTGAAAATATCGCAAGGTCAGATTGCTACTTTGACTAGTCTAGTATCAATAAATAAAATGTTTAGTATTTTCCATCATTTCTGGAATAACTTAAGCATATGTGTATTTTAACCTCATTTAAATTTTCATTCTAGATATCCGGCTATCTGTATGGTGTATCACCCCCGGACAACCCTCAAGTAAAGGAGATCAGATGCATAGTAATGCCTCCACAATGGGGGACACATCAAACAGTACATCTACCAAACATTCTCCCCAACCACGAGTATCTCAAGGTAGGAATCACGAGAAACTTCACAAAGTCAAGATTTCTTAGATCAGTTGTTGTTACCATGGATATGATGATGTCATACGAAGAAAACAATTGATTTTAGGAATTCTGAACTACAAAGTTTCTTTTTAATTTAATCCCAGATGCATTATTTATTTAAACATGACTTGATACTTTTATTCAATCAGATTGCTTGATGCTGCATGACAATAAAAGGCCTGTGAACCAGAACATTTTGGATACAGAATTTACCTTGAGGAATACATCTGTAGTTGTCAAGAGGAGAAATAGATATTACCAAGAGATAACCCTATCCAAAACAGTCTACTCAGTCTAACTCTGGTATATCTAATAATCGAATCAGTCCCTGACATAAAGCTCACACAGGCCTGGCTGATCATCTATAGTAAAACCTGTCTAATCCAAATGCCACTTGAATTGGCCAGAAGTGTTTGAAGTAGCAAGTAGTAATTTAGGACTGAAAAAAGTTTTTACATTGCGAGGTGTTCAAAAAAAAGAAGTGTTTGAATGTGCAGGTTTTGCTGTATTTTTTTTTACTTTTCCCTTACAGGAAAATAAATAATTAATTTTTAATTAATCTTCATTCCCTTTTAGGAGATGGAACCTCTAGGTTGGATTCACACACAGCCAAATGAACTGCCCCAGTTGTCCCCCCAGGACATCACTACACATGCTAAGGTCATGTCTGATAACCCAGCCTGGGATGGTGAGAAGACAGTTGTCATTACATGCAGGTATGCTAATTAAACATTTTCCCCCATACATGTATATTGTCTCCCCTCCAACAATTTTCTGTCTAATGCACTGCAGGGGGGAGATTTCACGAAGTTCAGAGTGTTGGTATTGGGTTATGTGGTATCCATGTGATATATCCATATAAGGCTTGCAGGACCATGTGGGGAAAGCTTAGGGGAAGCCCTTGATACTAAGTAATACCAAATAATTATGGGAGCTTAACTTACTTCTTCTGAATGGACTGTGTTGTAACCTGAACTTGAAGATTCGACCAATGTTTTGATAATGAATAATGAAAATTTTGAAAATAGTTCTTATATTAATTCTACCATAGGTAATTAATTAATTCAACGATTTAATGATTAATTCAACCATAGTGGTTGATAAAAGTTGTTTCTTCAGCTACATTTTTCCTATTTCCGTTCTTTATGTTAGATATGTATAAATTCCAGTTTTACTCCGGGATCATGCTCACTGACAGCATACAAGCTGACTCCCTCAGGGTTTGAGTGGGGTCGTCAAAACACAGACAAGGGCAATAATCCCAAGGGTTACCTACCCTCGCATTATGAAAGAGTCCAGATGCTGCTCTCTGATAGGTTCCTGGGATTCTTCATGACACCCTCCTCTGGTTCATGGAACTATAACTTTATGGGTAAGTACCTCTTGTTTTAAGAAGTTTTGGCTCAAACAAGCTTATATACGTGATATGTTTGTAAATTGACGTACTTTTGCAATTTGATTTATTTTTGAAAGTGGCCATCAAACTTATAGAAAAATGATAAAAGTCGAAAGAACTTTACAAGACAGTATACCTTCATACAAAATAATTGATTGTTGACTAATGAGTGAAAGAATTGGTATAGGAGATTTTTTTCTACTATCTAAATCTTTAAAGGAAAATCCTAAATGTGAATAGTGGGGCCATGGATTGAATAAACCAAATTGTCTTCACTTTTTAATTGGAACTGCACTATCAATCCTCATTTATTTTAGTGTATTGTCCCCAGGGTTAATCCAAAATACACAGAATCACTGAATCCGTGTCGAGACAAATAATTCCAGTCTTTCAGAGGCTAGTTGCTTAACTGAAGAATCAGGAGGCGATATTTTACTTTTTACAATGTTCAGAGGTTGGTGTTCTGTGTCTGTAGCAGCATTTGGTAGTTGGCGTCTGTAACGAATGTCAGGTTGTGACATTTTGCATATGTTAATTACTAATGGCACTATTTGTTCTCCAGGTGTAAGACATGACGCCAACATGAAGTACGAACTGCAGCTGTCCAATCCCAAAGAGTTCTACCATGAGATTCATCGCCCGTCACATTTCCTGAATTTTAGTAACATTGAGGAAGGAGAACAGTTCAGTGCTGATAGAGAAGACATGTATGCATAGAAACTCTAATTTGCAAAGGTTGCTAATTTTAAAATGCATTGGAACTCTAATGTGGATATAAGATACTCTAATGTGCATATGATGTACTCTAATGTGCATTGCTACTGTAATGTGAATATAAGGGACTGAATGTGGATATGAGGGACTCAAAATGTGCATATAAGGTACTCTATTGTACATCGGAACTCTAATGTGAATGCAACCATTGAATGGATAAGAATTGTTCAGTGGATAAGAGAAAAGGTATGCATAGGAAACTGTATGTGCATCACCATGGCAACAGTAATATACGAAGGAAAATTTGTGTGCATAGAAACCTGCATGTACAAGCCATTGGATTCATAGAACCCTTTTGGAAAATGATGTACTTTAAATTATAGATTTCTATAGAAATTGGAAAGGATCCCAATATGAATAGTGAAATAAAATGGTTTCATGAAGAACCTGCTTAATAATTTATCAGGAGGAAAGCAAAATGGATAACAAAGCACATTGTAGGATCATGATCAGATGAAACGTTAAGAACATTTCATTTTTTTATCAAACAATATAGAACATATCCATTATGTGGTTTTTATTATCATCTCAAGTTGAGATGTGAGGTCATAACCATTAGTGCAGTCAGAATGTGGGTTTCGGCGTGCGTTCAGAGGGATTTTATGAGACATAATTTTTCATGTTACTACTATGATTATACATATTTTTATGGATTATTAGATCTTAGTTTTTCAGCTTTTAGATTTTGTGGCCATTTAACCCCCCATGGGCTAAAATTAGGACCCCTACTATAAAATTGGGCAAGAACTCAAAAAATACTCAGTGGAATGTTTCCAAATTACATTGTTATATTGGTATAGGCTAATTGAATATATGATAAAAATTTCATGTCACATGGTTAAGTGGTTGCCATGGAAATGGATAAAACATGCCCTTCGGGTGTCAATTTTCAGGCCAATTTTTCAGGACTGACAGAGTCATTTCATGCATATTTTGTTCCCAATGTGTTAGGAAGGGTTAAAATGTAAATAGAAAATTTCTATAATATATTAGCAACAATTGTATGTAAAGATCAGTCCACAAAACCTCAGATTTTGGCCTTGTATTGGTCCATGACTTATACAGGGGTCTATTTCATAGACTCGAGCTCCCACATTGGATGGATGCTATAACTTTTGAAATAATGGAGATACAGGTCTCATTTTTTCAGATCTTCATAAATGGTTAGTTTTAAGTATTTTAATATACTTTGGGAGCTGACATGTGATTGGTTGCCATGGTAACCAGGGTTTTAGGGAAATTCTGGCCCCAACATTGGATGGATGCTATAACTTTTGAAATAAGGGAGATACATGTCTCATTATTTCAGATCTTAGACAATGATTGATTATTAATACTAAATTAGACTTTGGGAGCTGAAATTTGATTGGTTACCATGGTAACTAGTTTTTATTGAAATTTGGACCTCATCAATTGATAAATGCTTAACGTTTGAATTTAAGCAGATACAGATATCATCATTTCAGGTCTTAAAAATTAATTAGGTTTGTGTATTGAATTAGACTTTGTAGCTTAGCATTTACTTGATTGCCATGGTAACCATGTTTCGTCGTCATGGTACCCTTTATTTTTTATTTCATTTTTACCTTCATTTGAGAATGGTCAATTCACAACATGTTATACCAAAACACTCAAAATTATCATTTTGCTCTTAAATTCAGCAAATTTTCCTGTATGTCTGACAGTATAGCCTCATTCCATTCTACTAGTTCTCACACATATTCTGACTCCCAACTTGTTTTTACTCATCATTATCGTTTTCATCTTCCACAATTACCTCTTCATTAAAAATATCAACAATTTCTATTGGAAAGAAGGATTCTTTTGACCATTCTTGTGTTAAAGATTTGTCAGGGAATTCACAGTTCATTCATGCAGTGTTGGGCATAATGGTAGAGCTGGGTTTAGGCTGGTGGGAATGTGTCCATACATAGGTTTGATAATTTACCCTCTTCAAATGTGAAAGAAAATGTCAACACCTTCATAAGTGAGGGCAGCACTGTTCTGTTTTGTTCTGTATCTCATGGGAAACAGCTCATCTTGTAATCTATTAGTGGCAGTTATTTTTCTATTTCTGCTGTATTTTTGCAGGTGAACAATTCAACTTTCGATTTTATGGTAGCGGGAATTCCTATATTGTTTCCTATAGAAGAAAACAACTTTAAGAATTGTTTGTCTTCCGTTTCAGTTGATTTACTTTTCCTCTGTTCTGATCCAGTAAACGCATTGAAGGCTAATATGGCTTCACACAGGACTTAGTCCTAGGTTTGCAGCTACAGGGGTTGGGTTGAGCTTCTGACATCTAATGGGACATAGTTCACATTTGAGGTTCTTAAGGTTGTTTTCTTCATAATAGGAATCAATATAGAAATTTCTGACACAAAAAAATCCAAAGTTGAATTGTTCACCAGTAAAAGTACAGCAGAATTACAAAAATATGTTTGTAACTTACATCAATAGATAACGATATGAGCTGTTTCACATAAGATATTCTCCAAAGCAGAGCAGTGCTGCCCTCACTTATGGAGGTTTTGACATTTCAACTCTTCCCATCTTTCAAGACTGGTCCTTCACTGCTTTCATTGCAACTAATATAATGCAATGAATTAAATGATGAACTCTTCCACCTTGTAATGATTGCTCATTATAACATTTGAAGAGTTCACTGTATATAAACCTTGAGGGGATCCTCAGCTCAGGTGGGGTTCTTTTGACATTTGATATGGCAATGGACCCAAATTTTAGGATCTGGTATGAGAATGCTCTCCAAATTATGACTTGAGAGGTATGGCAATGGTCGGATTTGGGAATGGTTGTGAAAAATATGTTGCCCCACACTTGTTTTACATGTATGGCATTGATCTAGTATATTCTTAATGTGAGGTTGTTTTTGGTTGTTTTCCTCAATGATCTGCCTTCTTCTCGAGGCATTAGAAATTTTGAATGGCCATGTTTTCATATCTGGATATTTGGTATGGCACTGGTCCTATATTTGGGCATTTGGTATGGCTTTTGGGCATTATTTTGGTTGATATCGGAACACATTCAAATTTGACAGATTGGATGGGAACATATTGATATTTGAGGGTTCAGCCAAGGATCCCAACCACATTTTATACACAGTGAACCCACAGGGACCAGTCTTAACCCATTCTACCAAGTCCAATACTGCATGAATGGACCTAAGGATCCTTATCTCAAGAATGGTCAAAACAATTCTTCATTCCAACAGAAATTGATGATAAGAGGAAATTGTGCTAAATGAAAACAGTAATGATGAGTACAAATGAACAAATTAGGAGTCAGAGCTTTTGTAAGAACTAGTCCTATGGAATAAGGCAATATTGTCAGACATACATGTATTGTTTACTAGTATTTGATATTTTATGAGCCAAACAATGTTTGCATCTCTAGTATTATTGAGTCATGAGCATGTACACTGTATATCATATAAAATAGAAAAAAATCCCAAAATTAAGAATAAAATGGTAACTTTGAGCAACTTGGTATTTTAGAATAAAGGTGAATCTGAAAACGAAAACAGCAGTTACCATGACAATGAAACATGGTTACCATGGCAGACAAATAAATCCTAGCTTCCAAAGTCTAATACAAATACACACATATTATTATCTTACATCCGAAAAGATTATATCTTATCTGGCTGTATTTAAGAGTTATAGTGTTCATCAATTGTGGAGGTCTGAATTTCAACAAAACCCTGGTTTCCATGGTAACCAATCAAATTTCAGCTCCCAAAGTCTAAATCAATACTTTAAATCCATCATTGTCAAAAATGTGAAAAAAATGAGACATGAATCTCCCTTATTTCAAAAGTTATAACACCCATTCAATGTTGGGGTCAGGATTTCCTTAAAACCCTGGTTACCATGGCAACCAATCATATACCAGCTCCAAACTTATATTAAAATACTTAAAACCAACCATTTATGAAGATCTGAAAAAATGAGACCTGTATCACCCTTATTTCAAAAGTTATAGCATCCATCCAATGTGGGAGCTCGAGTCTATGAAATAGACCCCTGTATAAGTCATGGACCAATAAAAGGCCAAAATCTGAGGTTTTGTGGACTGATCTTTACATACAATTGTAGCTAATATATTATAGGAGTTTTCTATTTACATTTTAACCCTTCCCAACACATTGGGGACAAAATATGCATGAAATGACTCTGTCAGTCCTGAAACATTGGCCTGAAAATTGACACCCGAAGGGTATGTTTTATCCATTTCCATGGCAACCACTTAAGCATGTGACATGAAATTTTTATCATATATTCAATTAGTCTATACCAATATAACTTAGTAATTTGGAAACATTCCACTGAGTATTTTTTGAGTTCTTGCCCAATTTTATAGTAGGGGTCCAAATTTTAGCCCATGGGGGGTTAAATGGCCACAAAATCTAAAAGCTGAAAAACTAAGATCTAATAATCCATAAAAATATGTATAATCATAGTAGTAACATGAAAAATTATGTCTCATAAAATCCCTCTGAACGCACGCCGAAACCCACATTCTGACTGCACTACATGTAATCATGGCTGCTATGTAAATAATAGTGTTACATTTCATGAAGACATTTCAGATGTAGCATAATGACTGATTATGTCTGTATGGACAAAGGACATTTCTAGAAAATCTAGTGAATTTCAGTTGACTCCATCAATATGTCCGTATCATTAATTTACAATACTTTCTGGAACTGACTTCTGTAGACTAAAGACAGAATGTTTTATGAATCCTGTTCTTTACTCCTATCCTTTACATACTAAAGTTTGAGAAGAGAGAACACTCTGACTCAAATAGGTTTAATTTGAGACTGAAAACTATATTTTGTAATAATTACATGTAAACAAGCCGAGGAAATATTTTTGTGGTAATCAGTCTGTATATAACGGGCTAGGGCTAGAAATAGATTTTCAGCCGTTTTCTATTTTTAATGAGTGTTTAAGAATATTAAAGTGGTGTTTATCATAATTTATGGATCCAGGGCAAATGGAGATCCTCCTCTGAAAATCAATGTGTGAACATGTAAATCTGCGCAAATTCAAGTTGTCATTAAACCACTGCGAAAATAAAGTACCCAAAGACCAAAGTTGTGGTATAAATAAGACTATACTGGTAGAGTTGGTCGACTAATATGGCAATTATTGTAATGATTTGGTCATCCGAAGTTCTAAAGTATATTTTCAAAATAGATGTCAGGCAGAACGTAACAATTTATATCTTCATTTATGTAAAAATGAATAAATAAATATATAAAATAAAATGAATATGTCTGTTGCCTTTTGTACATTATGCTAGCGTGCCAACATGATTGTAAAATACCAGTCGCGAGTTCGCTTGCCGAGATGAAGTAAGAATTTTTTAATTGCATTTACAGGGTGGTCAAAAAAATGGAAACCCTAATACCATTTTCCGAATATCTTTATCATTTTAAAAGATAACTCCCCGATATTTTACACTTCTAAGAGTGGAGAGGGCAT